GAACACTTTTGTGTTTCAACCACTTCAATTGCTTCCTTTTAAAGTTCTATTCAAAGTATAGTCGATCCTCATTATTCAGATTCTGTATTAACAAATTCCCCTCTTTGCCCAAAGTTATTTGTAATCCCCAAACCAATCCTTGCGATGCTTTTACAGTAATTTGTGGACATGTGTAGAGCAGAGAAAAATTTGAGTCGCTTGACGTGTAAGTTCTCAGCTGAGGTCGAACAAGGGCCCATTCTTTCTGCCTGCTTGTTCCAGCTCTTACACTGTAAATAAGTGTGTCCTTTCTTGGTCTACTTAATGCCATGTTTTTCACAGTTTTATGCTTTGTGTGATTTCACTGTGTAAAATGGCCCCCAAGCGTAGTTCTGAGGTGCTGTCTAGTGTCCCTAAGTGCAGAACAACCGTGACGTGCCTTATGGAGAAAATTCATGTTAGATCAGCCTTGTTCAGGTATGAGTGCTTTTGGCCATGAGTTCAATGTTAAAGAATCAACTATATATATTAAATAAGGTGTTTTTAAGTAGAAACACACATAAAATAAGGTTGTATACTGACAGGGATCAATCCTGTATTTCCCCTAGAAATAGTGGGTCAGTATTTGCTATTCATTGTTTGTGGTGACTTTATTGAATGGTAACTACTACGAATAATGAAAATTGACTATATTTCTCTTCTTGCTGGGATCATCCTGGGCTTATGTAGTTATTTAGTGGGGTTTTTTTTTTTTTGGTAACTTTTATTTTGACAGAATTTCAAACTTACAGAAAAGTTGGAAGAATAGTGTAATGAAATTCCTTATGGTGGAACTGTAAATAGGTTAAATAGTGTCCTCTACAAACTCCTGTCCACCTGGAACTCCAGAAGGTAGACTTTTTTGGAGATAGGACCTTTGCAGATGTAACTAGTTAAGATGAAGTTATACTGCATTAGGGTGAGCCCTGAATCCCAATGACTTGTGAGAAGAGGAGATACACAGAAAGACACGTAGGAGAGAAGGCCACGAGACGACAGAGGCAGAGACGGGAATGATGCAGCCACAATCCAAGGAAGGCAAGGATTGCTGGGAGAAAGAGGCCAGGAAAGATTCTTCCCTGGAGCCTCCAGAGGGGCTAACACCTTCATTTTGGACTTCTTGGCTCCAGAATTGTGAGAATAAGGATGTTGTTTTAAGCCACTGAATTTGTGGTCATTTGTTAAGCAACCCTAGGAAACTAATATAACCCTTTACTCCATTTCACTGGTTTATTATTTTTTGCCTCTTTCTTTGTCTTTCTTTTCCTCTTCCTCCCCCTCCTCTTCCTCTTTCTTTCCCCATGCTTGTATCAATTTTTTTTCTGTACCTCTACCCCTAAATATTTATTTCCAGAATAAGGATCTTCTCTTACATAAGCATAGTATAATTACAAAAATAGGAAATTAAAAACTGATACAATATTATCTAGTCAACAGTTCATATTCAAATTTTATCAATTGCCTAATAATGACCTTTTTTCCTCTGGTCCAAGATCCAATCTAGGATCATACATTTCATTTCCTTTCCATGCCTCTTTAATCTTCTGTTAATCTGAAACAGTTCTTCAGACTTTCTTTGTATTTCTTGACCTTGTCATTGCTGAGGTGTACAGTCCAGTTATTGTGGTCTTGTCTGATATTTTCCCCAGTTTAGATTTAGGTTATTCCTCTCTGGTAGGAATACCACAGAAATCTTGTGTTCTTTTCAGTGCCTCCAATCAAGAGGCACTTGATGCTGGTTACTTGATTAAAGTGGTGTCTGACAGGTTTCCCCACTTTAAAGTTACTGTTTTTCCCTTTGGAATTAATAAGTAATTTGTGGGGAGATGCTTCATGAGCATGTAAATATCCTTTGCATCATTAAACCGTCACCTACTAGTTTCAGCTTTCATTGATGATTTTCTAAATCCACTGTTTATATCAATATAGACTCATATGCCTATTCAATAGGTTATAATCCTTTACTGTCATTATTTATTTGGTGCAGGAATGTTCCACATTTGGCCAGTGAGAGGCCATTCACGCAGGCTCATGTGTCCTTATGACATGTTCTCATTCCTTGAGTGCTTTCTTACTGTCTGGTTTAAGATACTTCAGGCTCATCTTGTACTTTCCTGTCCTATTCCCCCATGTCACCCATTCGTTTACAGAGCTGACCTGGGCTGATTTGATGCATTAAAGAGTATTCTGGAGTTAAAAAAAAATTGGCTCAAAAGAGACCAAATGTTATCTTCCTCTTTATTTACTGTTCTAGTTAACAAAGAGAGCTTCCTCAGAGCTGTCAGGGGAAACTGCCACTAGTGGAGGGTGAATACCCTCTTGAGGATAGACGCTTCCTTTTGTAGTCCTGCCCTGCCATAGGAGTTTCTACATAAAGAGGAATATGCTTGGGGTTCTTACATATTAAAATACCATCTATGTTATGGCTGAATTTGTTTTTTGGATTTCTTCCCTCTGTTCTAGTTATGGAAGTTTTACTGGTGCATTTTAATCTTAATTCATTTCTTTTTTAACCACAATGATGTTGAGGGTTTTTTTTTTTTTTTTGTATTATTCAGGTGATCAACTTACAGTAGTTGACCTTAATTTGATTTGTGATACAAATCTAAAAGATTTTCCTTAAATAAAATGCAAATTTAAAATCTTATGAAATGAATGCATGTTGTAGACATTTGTTAAAAAAAACGCAAAACTTATACAAAAACATTTGGAGAAAATAAATCAGTGTTATCACTGTTGCTAGATAAAATTCCTTCACTCACATTTTCTTCCCTTGAGTATCTTTTTTTTAAGATTTTTATTTATTTATTGAGAGAGAGAGAGAGAATGGTAGAGAGCATGAGAGAGAGGAAGGTCAGAGGGAGAAGCAGACTCCCCACTGAGCAGGGAGCCTGATGCGGGACTCGATCCCGGGACTCCAGGATCATGACCCGAGCCGAAGGCAGTCGCCCAACCAACTGAGCCACCCAGGTGCCCCTCCCTTGAGTATCTTAAATACACTTTTCTGGTTTTTTTTCTGGCATAAAGTTGCTGTCAACATCCTATGATAAGATAATTTTTATTCATTTGTAAGTCATTTATTCCTTTCCCTAGATGTTCAAAGCGTTTGTTTAAAGGTCTGTTTTCTAGGGTATATCTTGGTTTTGATTGCTTCTGGGTTGATATTACCAGGTATGTGGTGTGCTTCAATATGCAGTTTCCTTTTTTTTTTAAGATTTCAGGAACGTTTTTCTGGAATTGCAGTTTTTAATATTTGTTCTGTCTATTATCTTGGTTTTCATCTTCAGGGATTGCTATTATCTGTGTGTTGGATCACAAGAGAGACTTGACTGATCATTCTGTTTCTCTTGAATACTTTTACTTTCTTCATTGGAGGTGGGTGAACTTTAAAATGTCTTTCTTACTACTTTTTTAAGATATTATCTGTGATAGCTACTTGCTCTTGGATTCCTTCCAGTTTAGTCTTTTTTTCCTGAGCTGATTTTTTTTCCCTGTTGAGAGAATATTTTATTTTTGTTTCAAGTTTTTATTTAAATTCCACTTAGCATACAGTGCAATATTAGTTTCAAGAGTAGAATTTAGTGATTCATCACTTACATACAATACCCCCAGTGTTCATCATAAGTATTCTTCTTAATCCCCATCACCCATTTAACCCTTTCCTCTACCTACGTCCCCTTTAGTAACCCTCAGTTTTTTCTCTGTAGTTAAGAGTCTGTTTTATGGTTTGCATCTTTCTTTTTCTCTTCCCCCCATGTTCATCTGTTTTGTTTCTTAAATTCCACATATGACTGAAATCATATGGTATTTGTCTTTCTCTGACTGGCTTATTTCACTTAGCGTAACATACTCTGGCTCCATCCATGTTGTTGTAAATGGCAAGATTTCATCCTTTTTGATGGCGGAGTAACATTCCATTGTATGGATATATGTGTGTGTGTGTGTGTGTGTGTGTGTGTGTGTATTCATTTCATTGTATGTACATTGTATATCATGTATATAAACCACATCTTTATCCATTCATCTGTGGATGGGCATCTGGGCTCTTTCCTTCAGCTGATTTTTTAACTTTATTCTACTGCTTAAGTTTTGTTACTTCATTTCTGACTTTTTGTAATCTAAATATGTTGTCTTATATTGAAATAGTAGGTTACACTTTTTCTGTTCTATCAACATGTCTTTAGTATGCTTTCTTTGTGTGTTGGAATGTTATTCTGCTCCATTCCGTTTTTTCTATTTATAAAACTTTGTATTGGATTTAACCTTGATCCCTTTCTATTGCCTATTTTTATGTTGTGGTTTCTGTGCATTTTTAGAAGAAGGCAGGATTCAAAATAGCTTTGATAATTTCTGTTGTTTTCTTGTAGTTTGCAAAAATATGGCCACATGTTTATTTGTTATTTAGATATTTTCTGGCTTGGTTCCATTCCTCCACTCCATCTGGACCTTTTCTTTTCTTTGTCTCTACCATCCCTGTGCTGCTGAGCAGATTGCACTGCCAGCAGTTTCTCTGCAGTGTGAGGCCCGGTCCAGGAAGGTAGTCCTGGCTGACCAGTGCTGAGTGTCCTAGACTGCTCCTACTCCTTTGGATCTTCTTGGGTGGAACCCTTGTCCTCATCCTGTTTCAGGTACCATTTCATTCTCAGCTTGCCTGCTCCACTTCCTAGTGAACACCACATGTCTATGTACTCAGATCCTCCTTTGCTCCTTCACTTCTCTCAGGTTTGCTCTCAGATAGAATCATATGCAGGACTTTTGGAGGGTTGAATATTTGTCCTCACCTATTTGTATTTTGGAATTTGTTCTCTAATTGTACATGTTTATGTGCTTTCTTGTTACTTTTTTTTTTTACATGGGGATTCAGAGACATTCAAAACCTATGCCTGGGTTTCCACAGTGTTAATTGTCAACTTAATGTATATTTAATGAAGTTTATTTGAATTTTGTGTTTTGTTTTTTTTCTTTAAAAACCATCTCTACAGAGAAAAAGAAATTGGGATATAGAAAACCCATCCTTTCCAGGAGGGAGTCCACTGAAGTTCAGAAGAGCAGGTCTCAGGACAGTGGGGGCAGTTGCTTCCCTCTCTGAAGCATGGCTCAGATGTGGAGAAGGATTTCAGGACACTTCTGAGACTCTGGTAGGGTAATTATAAAAATTATAAAATTGTTTTCCTTGAATCCCAAAGGATACTTAGATTCCTGAGTGTTTAGGCCACTAATTATATTTCTTTGGCATTCCCTTCCTTATTTCAGGACACAGTAATTCGTACAGTCGTCTTTTTTTTTTTTTAAATCAGAGAGTGAGAGAGAGTGAGCACAAGCAGGGGGAGTAGCAGGCAGAGGGAGAAGCAGGCTCCCCGCTGAGCAAGGAGCCCGATGTGGGGATGTGGGACTGGATCCCAGGACCTTAGGATCATGATACAAGCCGAAGGCAGCTGCTTAACTGGGTGAGCCACCCAGGCATCCTGGTAGTCTTCTTTTTTCAACCTTGCATTCCCTTAGTAATTGTGGCAAGTTAGTAATCACCTCTTTATGCCAGGCCCAACCTTTGTACTTCTTTGTAAATGTAGGATACGCACTGAGAAGTTTCTTAGAAGATGAAATTTTTGAGCATCCTACTCTTCACATGAAGTATATTTATGAAATGCTTGTATACTCAGGATCTTTTGGCAACAAGATATTCTGGTTAATATTTGTATATATGGTAATTTTGAAATACTTATAGATATGTACAAAATGGAATACTGTTATAAACTCTTAATGGTTAGTTCTCTGTTTAGATTCCTGGTAGAATATAATAATACATTTATGTGTGTATGAGGAGTATGTGCTTTGGGAATACTTATTGGTAAATATAAATAAAAGAGAGGCATATTTTAAGGATGGTATAGTTTAAGGTTTTGAGTTTTACAAAATATTTTTGGTTTTAGCCCTTGTTCACATAAATTACTACATTATCATTATTATTATTGTCATCTTCCTGCAGTCATTAACAGCTGAAAAGGAGATTGTTACAGAAGAGCACCTCGAATTATCCCCTCAACCCAAGAAAGGTAATATTTTGTTGATTTCTTGACAGAAATGGTATAAGGCTAATATATCCTTCTTTGATTTATTTGCATAGTTTGGGTAGACTATATATTTATGGTTTAAAAACATCAAAATGTAAAAAGGTAATTTTTGAGAAATCTCTCATCTTTGTCACTATTTACCCCATTTTTTTTTCTTGCCTCCTGTAGATAATTATTAAAATTTTTTGTGTGTCCTTCCTGGGTTTACTGTTATCATCAGAGCCCAGTAGGTTAGCTTAGGCTCACAGCTCCAGGATTTAAAAAAATTCTGATTTGGAAAATAACGGTTATGAGCTATGATAAAAGACTATAGTATTTCAGGCAATGAAATTCTTACTTGGTGAATTAGTTAGGGAAGGCTTTCAGATACAGATAGTAGGAAACTTTTAGAGTGTTTGAAGAAATGGGGTTGAATTTATCTCCTGCAATAAGAAGTTCAGGGAGTCAGATGTGTTCTGAGTTCTGCAACCTTAGTGTGGAGTTTGTTCTTGCAGTCATGAGGTGGAAGCTAAATTGTCTGGGCCTACTTCTCAGGAAGACTGTAGGTTCTGAGGATTTTCTCCAGATATACTTTTCTTCTGGGAAGGAATTCCATCGAAGGACCTCTACCTTTGGCCAGAACCTGTTATATAGGGTCGCCTCTACTAAAGGGACTTCAGTGAAGTTAAAGATTTTTAAATATCTATGTTTTTGTTAGTAAGGAAGAAAACGGGGTATCAGGGAGGCTGCTGGCTGGCTCTGCTGCTACACTCACTGGGTAGGCAGGGAAAGTCAGTGCTTGAGACCTTAGGGATCTCCTTTGCCCCTAGGGGTCCTGACTGTGTGATCTTGGGAAAGAAGCTAAACACACTAAGCCTTAGTTTCTCCATCTGGGAAATGTGTATAAGAATGTGTGCCTCATTGGGTTATTGTTAACAAAAAGAAAGTAATAAAATGTCTATTTCAAAGGCTTGCACTTAGTAGTTGCTTAATAGATGGCAGCAAATGCTGTTATGTCCGATGGCAAAAAGAGCTATGTGAAAGCTTGCCAAAAATTCTGCGGAGTGGGAAAACTTCCTGTGAATAAGAGCTATATAAGTATTTCTTTTTTTTAAAATTTTTTATTATGTTATGTTAATCACCATACATTACATCATTAGTTTTTGATGTAGTGTTCCATGATTCATTGTTTGCGTATCAGACCCAGTGCTCCAGGCAGAACGTGCCCTCTTTAATACCCATCACCAGGCTAACCCATCCCCCCACCCTCCTCCCCTCTAGAACCCTCAGTTTGTTTTTTAGAGTCCATAGTTTCTCATGGTTTGTCTCCCCCTCTGATTTCCCCCCTTCATTTTTCCCCTCCTGCTATTTTCTTCTTTTTATTTATTTTTTAACATATAATGTATTATTTGCTTCAGAGGTACAGGTCTGTTATTCAACAGTCTTGCACAATTCACAGCGCTCACCATAGCACATACCCTCCCCAGTGTCTATTACCCAGCCACCCCATCCCTCGCATCCCCCACCACTCCAGGAACCCTCAGTTTGTTTCCTGAGATTAAGAATTCCTCATATCAGTGAGGTCATATGATACATGTCTTTCTCTGATTGACTTATTTCGCTCAGCATAATACCCTCCAGTTCTATCCACGTCATTGCAAATGGCAAGATTTCATTCCTTTTTTTTTTGATAGAAGTATTTTTTTATTAGGTAAATTTAATGACCTTTCTGGCAATAAAAATATTTAAATTTGAATTCAAAACCTTTTTTTAAACACACACAAATTCTAACCTGAATTAAAAATGTACAATAAATTTAAGGCTAACGTTTATGCCTATTATAAAATAGCTAGTGAAAGATGAAGCACCAGGTTCTTAATAAAATTATTGTGTTTTTACCAAAGTATACTCTGAAATTCTGAACCAAGATTAAGTAGCTTAAATTACTGTTTATTTATTTATTTTTTTTCATTTTTGGCTCAGCATATCTATTGAATGCCTCTGCATTAGGGTAGGACCCAGAAACTGCATTCATATTGTAAGCAAAACAATGTGTCTTTTTCTTCAGCTTCTGTAATTAGTAATAATTATAGACTTCTATGAACTTAAGAGATATTCTGTACATGTTTCTTTACACAGAAGAGGAAAAGCGTATATTTTCTTTGACAATCCCTGTTCCCACTTTTTTCTTTTTGTATTATGTTAATCACCATACATTGCATCTTCTTTTTTTTTTTTAACATATAATGTATTATTTGTTTCAGAGGTACAGATCTGTGAACCAACAGTCTTAAACAATTCACAGCACTCACCATAGCACATACCCTCCCCAGTGTCTATCACCCAGCCACCCCATCCCTCTCACCCCTCACCACTCCAGCAACCCTCAGTTTGTTTCCTGAGATTAAGAATTCCTCATATCAGTGAGGTTATATGATAAATGTCTTTCTTTGATTGACTTATTTCGCTCAGCATAACACCCTCCAGTTCCGTTCACGTCATTGCAAATAGCAAGATTTCATTCCTTTTGATGGTTGCATAATATTCCATTGTATAAATATACCACCTCTTCTTTATCCATTCATCTGTCGATGGATATATTGGCTCTTTCCACAGTTTGGCTATTGTGGATATTGCTGTTATAAACATTGGGGTACACATACCCCTTTGGATCCCTACATTTGTATCTTTGCGGAAAATACCCAGTAGTGCAATTGCTGGATCGTAGGGTAGCTCTATTTTCAACTTTCTGAGGAACCTCCATATTGTTTTCCAGAGTGGCTGCACCACCTTGCATTCCTACCAACAGTGTAGGAGGGTTCCCCTTTCTCTGCATCCCCACCAACATCTGTCATTTCCTGACTTGTTAATTTTAGCCATTGTGACTGGTGTGAGGTGATATCTCATTGAGGTTTTGATTTGGATTTCCCTGATGCCGAGCGATGTTGAACCTTTTTCATGTGTCTGTTGGCCCATTTGGATGTCTTCTTTGGAAAAATGTCTGTTCATGTCTTCTGCCCATTTCTTGATTGGATCATTTGTTCTTTGGGTGTTGAGTTTGATAAGTTCTTTATAGATTTTGGATACTAGCCCTTTATCTGATATATCATTTGCAGATATCTTCTCCCATTCTGTCAGTTGGCTTTTGGTTTTGTTGACTGTTTCTTTTGCTGTGCAAAAGCTTTTTATCTTGATGAGGTCCCAATAGTTCATTTTTGCCCTTGCTTCCCTTGCCTTTGGCTATGTTTCTAGGAAGAAGTTGCTGCGGCTGAGGTCGAAGAGGTTGCTGCCTGTGTTCTCCTTTAGGATTTGGATGGACTCCTGTCTCACGTTTAGGTCTTTCAACCATTTGGTGTCTATTTTTGTGTGTGGTGTAAGGAAATGGTCCAGTTTCATTCTTCTGCGTGTGGCTGTCCAATTTTCCCAACACCATTTGTTGAAGAGACTGTCTTTTTTCCATTGGACATTCTTTCCTGCTTTGTCGAAGATTTAGTTGACCATAGAGTTGAGGGTCCATTTCTGGGCTCTCTATTCTGTTCCATTGATCTCTGTGTCTGTTTTTTTGCCAGTATCATACGGTCTTGATGATGACAGCTTTGTAATAGAGCTTGAAGTCCGGAATTGTGATGCCGCCAGCTTTGCTTTTCTTTTTCAACATTCCTCTGGCTATTCAAGGTCTTTTCTGGTTCCATACAAATTTTAGGATTATTTGTTCCATTTCTTTGAAAAAAGTGGATGGTATTTTGATGGGATTGCATTGAATGTGTAGATTGCTCTAGGTAGCTTTGACATCTTCACAATGTTTGTTCTTCCAATCTATGAGCATGGAACGTTTTTCCGTTTCTTTGTGTCTTCCTCAATTTCTTTCATGAGTATTTTATAGTTTTCTGAGTACAGATCCTTTGCCTCTTTGGTTAGATTTATTCCTAGGTATTTTATGGTTTTGGGTGCAATTGTAAATGGGATCGACTCCTTAATTTCTCTTTCTTCTGTCTTGTTGTTGGAGTATAGGAATGCCACTGATTTCTGTGCATTGATTTTATATCCTGCTACTTTACTGAGTTCCTGTATGAGTTCTAGCAGTTTTGGGGTGGAGTCTTTTGGGTTTTCCACATAAAGTATCCTATCATCTGCAAAGAGTGAGAGTTTGACTTCTTTGCCAATTTGGATTCTTTCTTTCTTTTTGTTGTCTGATTGCTGAGGCTAGGACTTCTAATAATATGATGAATAGCAGTGGTGATAGTGGACATCCCTGCCGTGTTCCTGACCCTAGGGGAAAAGCTCTCAGCTTTTCCCCATTGAGAATGATATTTGGTGTAGGTTTTTCATAGATGGCTTTTATGATATTGAGGTATGTACCCTCTATCCTTATAGTCTGAAGAGTTTCAATAAAGAAAGGATGCTGTACTTTGTCAAATGGTTTTTCTGCCTCTATTGAGAGGATCATATGATTCCTCTTCTTTCTTGTGTTAATATATTGTATCATGTTGATTGATTTGCAGATGTTGAACCAACCTTGCAGCCCAGGGATATATCCCACGTGGTCATGGTGAATAATCCTTTTAATGTACTGTTGGATCCTATTGGCTAGTATTTTGGTGAGATTTTTGCATCCATGTTCAGCAAGGATATTGGTCTGTAATTCTCCTTTTTGATGGGGTCTTTTGTCTGGTTTGGGGATCAAGGTAATGGTGGCCTTCTAAAACGAGTTTGGAAGTTCTCCTTCCATTTCTATTTTTTGGAACAGTTTCAGAAGAGGTATTAATTCTTCTTGAAATGTTTGGTAGAATTCCCCTGGGAAGCCATCTGGCCCTGGGCTTTTGTTTGTTGGGAGATTTTTGATGACTTCTTCAATTTCCTTAGTGGTTATAGGTCTGTTCAGGTTTTCTATTACTTCCTGGTTGAATTTTGGTAGTTGACACATCTCTAGGAATGTATACATTTCTTCAGATTGTCTAATTTGCTGGCATATAGTTGCTCTTAATATGTTCTTATAATTGTTT